GGTTTTTCACAGAAGCCAGAGCAGGGCCTGGCCGGGACGGCTAGTATACATATATATGAGTATATATGTATATATGTGTCTATGTATTTGTATATATGCAGAATCAGCCATTTAACAGTGCGTTTGAATGCCGACTAACTTTGTGTAATATTTCCTTCATGTTGGTGCTCAAAGACTTGAGAAAGTCCAGGTCAGTACACTGGTGCTTGGTGCTGCTGATTAGGTTGTTGACCTCATTCCTGTACAGCTCATTAATCACATAGGACGGCTGGATGCACATGTCAAATGGCTGCGTCAAATTTGCCATCAGCCTAAAGCATAAATGATCTAAGTCATTATCTATTTCTAATGTATTTGCTTCTGTGTAGTGTTGGTCAACAGGTTAAGCTTAAGGTCAACTAGGTCAGCTAATCCTAACTTGGCAAATTCAGCTAATCATAATGAATGGTAACATGCTTTGAACTTCTAATGGATCCAAATATTCTCTTCTACAACAACAAAGAGACCCATAGTGATATCAACATTTTAAAACTTCTGTATATTTCACAACAGGGATTTCATATGATATTTCTTTTAGGACCCAGCACACCTATCTTTAAATGCACTCATTAACTTAGCCAAATTAAGATTGTCTTACCTGACAGCTTTACCAAATATTTCCTCATCATTGCACACCTTCAGCAAGGGCACTAGATCCTGCAGGAAAAATACAACACAGCATCAGTCAAAGCAAGATTTAATGCCACTTGTTTGGAAAACTTAACTCTGACAATGTAAACATGATATAAAGGTGAAATTATTTTTAAAAGTTTGAATTTTCTACACAAAAAAACTAAAAAAAAACCCCATCAGTTTCTAACTTTTAAAGTAAAATTATCGTCTTCCATTTTGTGATGCACACAACTACGACCATTGAGCTTGGAGTAATTTCCCATTGAATCTCAAAAAACAAACAAATCTGACGTGACAAGTGTTGCAAGCCTTTTTATACTCCTATGGTCACATGACCATGTTGTTATTTAAACTTTAAAAACAAAAGATCGACTTTAAATAAAGCAACACCGCGGGAGACTGAAGACCCTGAAAGTATTTTCTGGAAGACAAGAAAGTACGGCATGTGCCAGAAGTGCTGGCAAGGGCGTGGGGCTGGAAACCTGAGCCACTCACAACATGATGTAATTCCTGGAGGCGCTCCAAGACACGTGCGATGCCGGCTGGTTCAAGTTTACGTCTTGTTGTGTTCTTTTAGGTGAGGTCATTGTTGTGTTCTTTTAGAGGTAAGGTCAAGTATTGTTGTGTTCTTTTAGAGGTAAGATCAAGTATTGTTGTGTTCTTTTAGAGGTAAGGTTGAGTATTGTTGTGTTCTTTTAGAGGTAAGATCAAGTATTGTTGTGTTCTTTTAGAGGTAAGGTTGAGTATTGTTGTGTTCTTTTAGAGGTAAGGTTGAGTATTGTTGTGTTCTTTTAGAGGTAAGGTTGAGTATTGTTGTGTTCTTTTAGAGGTAAGGTCAACTGTTGTTGTGTTCTGTTAGAGGTCAGGTAAACGAATGTCCTGTTTACAAATTAGAGATTGACACATTTGATGCTCTATTATCAACTATTGTTAAACCTTGTAGATTTCCAACCCGGGGCATGGGGGAGGGAGATTTCACAATCACTTGAAATATTGGGATTTACTTGATCTACTTCACCTTCTGTTAAAACATTTAGAGTAACTATGATGAACTAGAGTTCCTACAATAAACATCAAGTCAGTTTTTTATTTCTAACATGAAGGAGGGAAGGAGAGAGAATGTGTGCTAATATTTTGGATGTTTCCAACAGAAAAAAAAAAAAAAATGAAAAACACATAAAAGATGTATGGCTTTGTTGTGACAATTCCAGTCTGTGACAAACAACTTTTGAACAGACGACCAAACGGCCAGAGCAAAAATTGTAAGGTCACTGTCATTTGATATTTTAAAAACTTAAATAAAAATGAGGTTAATAATAAAAAAAAAGTGCTGGAAAATGTGTTAACATGTATCTAAAAATAACTTGAAAAGAAATCAAATGTGACAACCGGATGGGATTGTGGGTGGAGCAGGGTAGATTAGGGGTGAGTACTCACATTTTCCAGGGACATGCGTCTTCTGACATCAAGGGTTCTCTTGTCTTCATTCAACAGGGCATCAATCATCTCCTCCAGAACCTCTGTGGAAGTGTTCGGGGAATAAGTGGAGTCATTAGATCACACGTCATTAGATCACACGTCATTAGATTACACGTCATTAGATCACACGTCATTAGATTACACGTCATTAGATCACACGTCATTAAATCTTAGAGTTACACACGTCGTTAAATAAAACGTCATTAAACCACACGTCATTAGATCACACGTCATTAGATCACACGTCATTAGATCACACGTCATTAGATCACACGTCATTAGATCACACGTCATTAGATCACACGTCATTAGATCACACGTCATTAAATCTTAGAGTTACACACGTCGTTAAATAAAACGTCATTAAACCACACGTCATAAGATCACACGTCATTAGATCACACGTCATTAAATCTTAGTGTTAACACAGGGTATACATGGAAATATACACAAGTCACTAAATCCTATTTTAACACAAGGGAATAAGTGGAGATATACACGTCATTAAATCTTTACCTACACACCAACTTAATTATATAAAGTTGAAATAAGTGCCAATTTTGGTTAGAGTTAAACTAATTGTAGTTAAAAATAGTAGAGCCGATCAAAGATTCATACAATCGATCAAAGATTGGAATAGCCAAACAAAGAATCATACAGCCGATCAAAGATTGGAATAGCCGACCAAAGATTCATACAATCGATCAAAGATTGGAATAGCCGACCAAAGATTCATACAATCGATCAAAGATTGGAATAGCCGACCAAAGATTCATAAAATCGATCAAAGATTGGAATAGCCGACCAAATATTCATACAATCGATCAAAGATTGGAATAGCCGACCAAAAATTCATACAATCGATCGAAGATTCAAACAATCGGTCAAAATTTGGAATAGCCGAACAAAGATTGGTATAATCTGATAGAGATTGGTACAATAGAACAGAGTTTGCTACAGTTGACCAAAGAATTGTACTATAAGTATAAGCCAAAGTTCCATTTAAAAAAGAAATACAAAGTTAATGTTATGTTAAACAACAGTCATTTTTATCGGCGTCCACGTGCCGATGAAGATATTTAAAAAAAGATCGTTGAACAAGATCCTGTGATGACAAATTTCCATCTATGACCTGGTATTTCTATGACAGATTTCGACATATACATCTATATATTTATATGTTTATATATATATATATATATATATATATATATATATATATATATATATATATATATATATATATATATATATGCCTATATAAACTAGCTACCCTTCCCTTGATGACAAAACCCTGCCTACGCCCCTGATGAGTACTAGCTCTAAAACGAGCCTGAAAGAATCCCGCGAAACATCTTCTAACTTACATTAAAGGACAGCTTGTTTCTATATCGGGGCGGCTGATTAGCGTGAGCGGGGAAAAACCGTTATGATTTTTAATTTCATTAGGCCGATATTTACTTTCTGCCGCTCCTTTTTTTTTTTAAATTTAAATTACTTATACATCGTATAAATCCTTAAGAAAACCGTGAGACTCATCCCAAGTTTTATTCAATCTAATTACTACTGCTAATGAAGAGTCGTCAACTTTAAGAATTTTTCCCATCTGAATTTTGTTAACACTGTAAAGCGTGAACTAAATATGTTGAAGAGAAAGTTTCAAATAATTTCTGACAAAGAGACTTCTAGGAGGTGTGTAGATGGAGGTAGTTCTTCCACGCTGTCAAGACATAAGCAAGCGGTCAAGTGGAATTAGAGGGGAGACACGGAATGAATGACACGGGGAGGGGTGTGAGTGGACAACAGGAAATGCTAGCCCATGGATGGATGGATTCGTCCGCATTTTTTTTTTTTCCAAAATGGGAAGTAGTGGGGTTGCATCCTTAATAGTGCATAAGGGTCAAATAGAAATGTAAAAACAAAAGTTAAATAAAGTCGAATAACAGTTAGGTATATCTCACGCAATCAACAAGCGCCTGCAGTTAACATGGTGAGATAAAGTTACATAGAGTTCAGAAACCAAAGGATGATTGGAGACACTAGGTTTAAAAAAAATAACATTGAAAATAGTTGATAACTTTCACGAGTCTTACCTTGTCAATAGAACTCCCAGTTTTTCCAAGAAAAATGATCATAGACAAAAATGTAATAACACTTTTATGTTCAGTTTTCTTCATTAAAAATACAGGACCCCACTAGATTTTAAAATAAACACAATGTTGTGAACACTTGATAAACTTTTTGTACACAAAGACTATCAGTAGACAAGTCTACAATGTAGCATATACGTTCAGTGTACCAGCGTACAAACTGTATTCACAAACACAAAATCAGTAGACTTGTCTACAAACTAAGTGGCATATAACATCCGTGTACAGTATACAAACTGTATACACAAGAACAGTGCACCACGCTACACCACCCGTATATCAACTGACGAACCAGCAGCGGCAGATAATCGCTGTCTCCAGCAGAAGATCCCTGCGTTAAATAGCTATCAATATCTGATCGAAATCTCAAAATGCCGAGATAACCAAATTTTCAAGGTGACGACAGGCGAGGAAGGAAAAAAAAAAGATTCACATTTCTTTTTTTTTATTAATTAAATAGAAGCCATATCTTTTGTTTTGTTTAGCGACTTATTGAATTTCCGAGGGTAAAAATAACCTTGCTAGTTAGTACTTCTAAAAATCTTCCTATCAACCAAGAAAGTTATTTTCTCTCCAGTTGAGTGAGTTATCTTCTCTTATTTTGGCCCCGTGAATGGGAAAGTATGTGAAGTAATTTGACGGATATGGTCTTGGTATTTAAACTAATTATGTATTATTAGGTTTGAAATTATTTTTTCCCTTCTACTGAGTAGAGCTGGAGGAGTGTCTTAAATTAGGTCACACCTCGCCGACGACAATGTTGAGGAAGTCACGTTGGGACGGAACTCATTTTTGTTTTGTTCTTGTTTTAAAATGTTAGACGGATGACATGCAAAAAAAACTACAGATAAAAAAAACAATCATACATTAAATGATGGGTTTTAAAGAAATATATTAATTTATTCAGGTCATGCCCGTCTTTTTTCCGTTATCAGTCACGTGACTCGCACGTGTCGTTAAAGAAGTTCAATGCCGATTTTCTATTGGCTGTCCTCTATGTTCAGTTTTTTATCTATTCAACTCCTTAAATAAAATAAAAAATTTGCTCTCTACATGAGCCAACACTTAAGTCACGCATCGTCACACGAACATCTCAACATAATTTTGTCAAAGAACGTTAACATTGATTTTTAAAAAATAATGTCTTAAATAAATGAACTAGAATGTGTTGACCCCACAAATGAAAATACGATCTATATTCCGACCCCCTGAGGCCAATGATATCTTCTGACCCCAATAATGGAAACAGTAAGATCTGTATTCCGACCCCCTGACTAACTAGTAGGCCTTTAATGACCTGACTCCACTAATACAAAACAGTACGATCTATATATCCCGACCCCCTACTAAACTAGTATCTAAACAAAAGCGACCATATCAGGTCGTGTATGATAATAGCTGACATTGACCTGATGACGTCATTCAACCATATCAACACAGACGTCCATACCGTCGGGTTGACACCAGATGACAATGCATTTCTTGATGCACTAGTGTACAGGTACAAATTTGCTCTGAATATTTTAAACAAGGCTAAACGGGACGTACACTGGGGTGTGAGTTGGGGTGTATGATGGGGGTGTGATGGGGTGTGATGGGGTGTGTGATGGGGTGTGTGATGGGGTGTGTGATGGGGTGTGTGATGGGGTGTGTGATGGGGTGTGTGATGGGGTGTGTGATGGTGTGTGGGATGGGGTGTGTGATGGGGTGTGTGATGGGGGGTGTGAAGGGGTGTGTGATGGGGTGTGTGATGGGGGTGTGATGGGGGTGTGATGGTGTGTGGGATGGGGTGTGTGATGGGGGTGTGAAGGGGTGTGTGATGGGGGGTGTGACGGGGTGTGTGATGGGGGTGTGATGGGGGTGTGATGGGGGTGTGGGATGGGGTGTGTGATGGGGGTGTGAAGGGGTGTGTGATGGGGTGTGTGAAGGGGTGTGTGATGGGGTGTGTGATGGTGTGTGGGATGGGGTGTGTGATGGGGGTGTGAAGGGGTGTGTGATGGGGGGTGTGAAGGGGTGTGTGATGGTGTGTGTGATGGGGGGTGTGAAGGGGTGTGTGATGGTGTGTGGGATGGGGTGTGTGATGGGGGTGTGAAGGGGTGTGTGATGGGGGGTGTGAAGGGGTGTGTGATGGGGTGTGTGATGGGGGTGTGATGGTGTGTGGGATGGGGGGTGTGAAGGGGTGTGTGATGGGGTGTGTGATGGGGGTGTGATGGGGGTGTGATGGTGTGTGGGATGGGGTGTGTGATGGGGTGTGTGAAGGGGTGTGTGATGGGGTGTGTGATGGTGTGTGATGGGGGTGTGTGATGGTGTGTGATGGGGATGTGTGATGGGGTGTGTGATGGGGTGTGTGATGGGGGTGTGTGATGGGGTGTGTGATGGTGTGTGATGGGGTGTGTGATGGCGTGTGTGATGGTGTGTGATGGGGTGTGTGATGGGGTGTGTGATGGGGTGTGACGTCACGAAGAAGACGGTGTTGCGATACCTGATGTGCCCTTATCTCCCTCCTTAGGAAGAGCCAAGAGACGAACATCAAAACTAACAGCTACAAGATGAAAACATGACGGAAAACCCAACAAATCAAAGCGGTTATTCCCTAGCATCGAAGTTATGTTTCGTAAACTTCATTAGTAACATATTGGAGTTATTTTGTTTATTTCTTACTGTTAAAGGTAACATTTTGATGTTGTTTTGTTTATTTCTTACTGTCAAAGGTAACATATTAGTGTTATTTTACTTCTCACTGTCAAAGGTAACATGTTGAAGTAGTTTCGTGACTTGCGATTATATTGGGTACGTTTCCTGACCTTTCGCCATTAGAGATTTCCTTCAGCCATGGGATAAGTTATCATACAATGTCATAGTCTAGGACAACCCATAATACAAAAATATGA